AACTACTACAGTAAAGATTTTTACCATTTGCCTGTGACATTTAACAGCTTTGTAAAAACATAGTCTCTGCCGTGTATAACAGAAACAAACTTTCTTTGTGTTTTGGTTTCTGCCTCACTCATTGAGGCTGATGGCAGGCTGGTTACTTGTAAAACTCATTTGTCCGTGTTTGCTGTTTGAGCTCTTTCACCCTCAGTTGAATAAAATAGTGAACGTTTGTGGCTGTTTTTTTTTGTTTGTTTGTTTTTTTGTGGCCACACAGCTTGCAGGCATGGCAACCTTTTAGCCAGGAAGCCTCTGACTGGCTGCTGTGGTTCCACAGCTACGGCCAGCCTGACCTCCATAGTGTGTTTCTGTTTGCTTTGTCAGAAGGGAAGGTGGCTCGCAAAATACAGATGCCATGGCTTGTAGCCACACTAAACAGCCTCATACCGGCAGCATTAAAAGGACAAAGACCAACTTGAACTTACCCAGACAGATTCAGAATAACAAACCAGCCTAGCATCAGTGGGGTCAGCTGAAGAAAACTTCCAGTACCGTCAATGTTTAGACAAAGATTATACTGATTTAAAATGTATGTGTAATCCCACAGTTTCAAAGGATCATTAAACCACTGTCCTGTTTCTAACCCACTGTGTGTTTACATTGTTGGTCCCTCTTCCAGGAGGAATGCAGGACTACAACTATGTGTATGGAAATTGTCTTGAAATCACCATGGAGCTGAGCTGCTGCAAACATCCCCCTGCTTCTGAGCTCCATAAGGAATGGGATCTTAACAGGGAATCCCTCATAGCCTACATAGAAACGGTAAATATTCTGTTTATTTTACACTAAAATTGGAGTAGAATTTCTCCACTTCAGTAGAATATCTTATGTATTTTACTGCCCACCGTCTTCCAGGTGCACATTGGCGTCCGCGGGTTTGTAAAAGATGCAGTCAGCGGCGCCGGCCTCAGCAATGTCACCATTGCAGTGGCAGGGATTGGCCACAACGTGACCAGTGCAAAATACGGGGACTATTACCGCCTTCTGCTTCCAGGGACGTACAACATCACAGCTGCGACTCCAGGGTATATAATGCAAACATTCACGTCACAGTTTCACAAACTGAAGTTGTTCGTTGAAGGTCTACTGTTCATGTTCTAGTGCAGTTGCAAAGTGGGTCAAATGTCCTTGTAAGGACTTTAAAAAGAAGCTTGTTTTCATGACAATAATGTTGAATTTGCTGTTGATTTTAGAGTATAGTTAACATGAATCTCGTCTTTGTGTGTGTTTTCAGGTACTTGTCAATGACAGTCAACGGTGTTCAAGTCATGGAGGGTAAAACCACTGAACATAACTTTACTCTGTCACCTGTGGTTGAAGAAACTGAAGGTAGCACCACCCTAACTACGACCTCAAAGCCGTCCACTAGTCGGCCAACGACTACAGTCTCTTCTAACGTAAACACCACTCACACTCCGGTGGTTACTACTGAAGGAAACAAAAACACCCCACCCGTTCACCAGCCTATCCAGCCCAAAGAATTCCGTCACCACAACTATGCCGACATGGAGCTTTTCTTACGCAAGTACAACAGCGAGTTCTCCTCCATTACCAGCCTTTCTTCTATTGGCCGCTCCGTGAAAGATCGGGAGCTGTATGTGATGATCATCTCTGATAACCCAAACATTCACGAGCATGGTAAGTTATTCTGTTCTTTGTCGATATTTATAAATAAAACATTGTCTCTAAACGTAATTTCAGCTGCTTAAATTATTTTGTTTGTCTCGGTCAGGTGAACCAGAGTTTAAGTACGTGGCCAACATGCATGGAAATGAAGTGGTGGGTCGAGAGTTGTTGCTCAACCTCATTGAGTATCTGTGCCGCAACTATGGTACCGACCCAGAGGTCACCTGGCTGGTTAGCAATACCCGCATTCACATCATGCCCTCCATGAATCCTGATGGCTATGAGGAAGCCACTGAAGGTAGGTCCAAAAAGATAAAACAAACCACAAACCTCTTGGTGTGAACTTCTTTTGCAACAATAATTTAAATAATGCTTCAGGTTTTTGTTAATTCCTTCTGAATTAATGGGAAATTTACCCCAAACATTCATGCACAACTATCTTACTGCCCAAAACCAAACCAAAAAATAAAATCTGACTGAGCAATGAATCAACTGACCAACCACCTGACTGTCCATCCATACATCAGTCCATCCATATGAACATACATACATACTGTACACCCAACTGACCGACCAAATAACAAACCAACTAAACCAACCAAACAAATGTGCTTTATGACAGAGAATGGTTCAAGTTATTTTTTTCAATGTTTAATTTTTAAATGGGCAATATTATGTGTTTCTCAGCCATACACTTAAATACTATACCATAATAAAATATCTTTGTCACCTTTAGTTGTTATTAAAATGCTGTTTTTATATTTAAATAGAAAATAAACTTATCTTCTCATCACTTCCTCTTCTAAACGCCTTGAAATTGGCCTCTGTCTCTTTAAAGGTATCATATCATGCTTTTAAATCCTTCTTTTTCACATCTAAATCATTCACTTATGGTCTATTTAAATTAAAACTGCAATGCTTTGGTCTTAATTCCTCGTTTTTGTTGCTCCACAGACTCCTTRCTTTCCTTGCTTTACCCCTGTTCTGAGTTGCGCCTCAGACCACCTTCCGCTTCTCAGCAGACAGATTCAGTTTCACTTTCAGTTTCACCCGTTGTTTGCTTTGTTACTGCCGAGAGCCTTCAGGAGTCATGGGCGGGGTGTGGGGGGTGCGCTCTGCCATAAGAAAGTTCAGCTTAAAGACACATCCCAGAGGAGGAGATTGTCCCAAAAGGACACAACCCAGGGGCGTTTTTGGTCCCAAAAGTCGTTTCTGGTCCCCACCTGTCGTTTTGCTCCTCAGCATGGCTGTCTAAAAACGCTGCAGGATTTCTCAAACACACATGAATGTGTCAAAGCAAGGCTTTGGGCATGTTTTTTATGAGAGTACAAAACTCAAAAGAGTTGATTTTACATGATATTGCCCCTTTAAGCACTTCTCTGTCTTGCAGTAACTTTAAGTCAATACTTACTGCTGTTGTGTAAAAGGAAGTAGAGTTGAGGTCATTTAAACCCTCAAGCAGGAACGTGCTTCAGTTAACACACATTATTCTTACTGATGACTCATTTCTCTGGCTGGCTTCCTTTTAGGTGACATGAAGAGCTACAAAGGACGCAACAACAGCAACAAATATGACCTGAACCGCAACTTTCCTGACCAGTTTGTCACCATCACTGATCCCAGGCAGCCAGAGACTGAGGCTGTAATGAAATGGGCGAAGAGCATACCTTTTGTTCTGTCTGCCAACCTCCATGGAGGTACGATCTCACTTTATTTCTTCAGTTCAAAACTTAATAAAACAAAATTTACTCATAGGGATTAACTGTTTTGCTCTCTTTGTCTTTGTTTTTGTATAATGTAGGGTCCATGGTGGTCAACTACCCTTTTGATGATGACAAAGAAGGAATTAGTCATTACAGCAAGTCACCTGATGATGAGGTCTTTAAGCAAATTTCAAGAGCATACTCAGAGGTAATATGACTGTTGCTTTGGGATTACACTGGATACATCTTGTTTTAAAACTGAGCAATACATTCATTGTGTTGGATTTGTATACAGCAAAATCCCATTATGCACAGTGGACACCYTTGTGAGGAATTGTACCCTCAAGAGTATTTCGAGGATGGCATCACTAATGGTGCTCAGTGGTACACAGTTCCTGGTATGTTTTGCATCTTTCACTCTTTGTTGCTTACAGCAGATCTTTTCTTGTAAAGCTGCATTTTGCAGAAACAAAATGACCATTAGTTCATTATAGTTAGATTTGATCTGTTTTTAAATTTCAAAATTGCACTTACCAAAAAAATAACAAGTGGCCACCACATTTAGAATTAATAAATGTTATTCTGACAACACCAGCTTGAAAAGCCTTTTTTTCCCCTTCTGAACTATAATAGTGACCCCTGCTAGGTAGTTGGTAAAGAATGCAGGTTAAAGTTGGGGTATTATGCAAAGTTGACTTTTTGGATGTTCGTGCATGTTTGCAAAATTTTGTTTAAATTTTTTTAAAGCAMAGCAATAACATTGGTTTATTGAGTTCTTCTCTTTCTCCAGGTGGCATGCAGGACTGGAACTATGTCAACACCAACTGCTTTGAGGTGACCATTGAGCTGGGCTGTGTCAAGTACCCCTGGGCTAAGGACCTGCCAACATACTGGGAACAAAACTGGCGAGCCATGCTGAAGTTCATCCAGCAGGTAGTAAAAACTACCTTCAGACCAAGTCTCATACAAGACAACTCTTGGAGGTTCTGCCTTCACTCTTGTTTACTTGATTTCTTCTTGTAGGTTCACACTGGAATAAAGGGTACAGTTAGTGACTTTAGAGATGGTACAGGTATTCCTAACGTCACCATCAGCGTGGATGGAATTGACCACAATATCACTACGGCTGAGACTGGAGACTACTGGAGACTGCTGGTACCTGGGACCTACTCTGTCACCGCCTCTGCCCCAGGGTAATACTTGTATTTCAAATTAAAGAASAAGCTAAGAATGTACTGTAAAGTTTCTTTAAATTACTTTTTTTTATTTTTWTTGTCTACATAGCTACAAACCTATGTTGATCTACGTCACGGTCTCGAATGATCGAGCAGAGGTACTGGACTTCAGACTGACTCGATTTGACTCAAACATTAACGGCCAGTCTACCAGTGGTCCCCAGACCACACCGAGCCCATCTGAAAAGGAGCTCCAGGTCCTAATCCATGAGCTCTCTCTAAACGAAGGTTTGAAGCAGCTGGTCGAGAACACAGCCACTGACAACAGCCTCCACTACAGAGGCTTTAAAGACATGTCCGACATCTTGAGAGGCCTCACGCTCAACTTTGCCAATATTACCAAACTACACAAGTGAGCAGGTTTTATCTTTTTTAAACARTTAACTGCACACTGTGCATTATTTTTTTTCTGTGCTAAAAAAGCCAATGAGAGATTCTCAGTTTCATAACTTTAATTATGAAAACTATATGGTACTATTTGTGATCCAAATTCAAATATTCTGGTTTCTTCTGTCTTTTTATATCTAGTTTGAGCCAAAGTGTGGAGCACAGAACAATTTATGCGCTTGAAATCTCCAGCAAACCAGAAGACACTGAGCCATCTAAACCAAAGATCCGCTTTGTGGCAGGGCTCCATGGGAATGCACCGGTGGGCACAGAGCTGCTGCTGGAGTTCGCTGCCTTCCTGTGCATCAACTACCACAAGAACACAGCCATCGCCAAGGTCAGGGTCTGGACAGTCAGCAGTTCTGCTCCAACTATGCATTTATGACTAAACAGAGTTATGATAGAGAAAAYATGTCTTATTGTTCTTTCTCTAACTTTTTTTTATACTCCAGCTCATAAATGAGACTCGAATTTTTATCGTGCCATCCGTCAACCCCGACGGCCGAGAACAGGCTAGTAAGAATCAGTGCACGTCCACCCAGGGCCTGGCCAACTCTAACGGCGTGGATCTAGACAGAGACTTTTTTGGTTAGTTGTACGGTACTGACTCAACTTTGTACGTCGGTAACAGTCAAAACTGGGTTGTTTTTATTGTGATTTCTTCTGTTTTCCAACTGTTTTCTACTTTACCAGGCAATGAATCACAACGCATGAGTGATCCCCAACCTGAGACGAAAGCGATGATGAACTTCATTCAAAACGGAGACTTCACTCTGTCTGTAACTCTGGATGGAGGTGGCCTGGTTGTCACCTACCCTTATGACAARCCTGTTCAAACTGGTAACATGTCTATGCAGAGCACATTCTTGTGTTTGCCTATTTTTCGTTCGATGGTGTGAAAATTAAAATTAAATTATGATGTCTTTTTTTCTTTGGCAGTTGAAAATGAGGCCACGTTGAAGTACCTGGCGAAGACGTATGCCGACAACCACCCAAAGATGCGTCTCGGAGATACTTCTTGTTCTAACAATGGCCAAAGTACGACATGTGAAGACCATTTTATGCTCATTTCATCAGTCGTTGTTGCAGTTCTTATACTTATAACTTCTTATTTTCAGTGGGCAGCATCCCAGGAGGAGTTATGAAAGCAGCAGAGAAACAAAGTCACATGGGGAGCATGAAGGTAAAGTCCCTCATTACTGGAAGCAAGTGTTTGTGTTCCGCTTAGACTGGATCTGTACTGTTTGGAAGACGTTATTTATTACAGATTACCTGTAATATTKTCCACTGCCACAGTTTTGTGTCTGTGTGTGTTTGTGTTGTGTTAGCAAAGTATCCCATAAACAACTAAGCAGATTTTAATGAATCTTTCAGACAGTAAACATAGGATGTGCATGATTAACTTTTGGAGTCAACCCAACTCAGGGTGGATGCCATAGCTAATTGACCACAGCTAATAAAAGTAAAACTAGAAGCACTTGGACAGTGCAAACCTCCTCCAAGTCCAATTTCCCCCATCCTGTAATGGAGTTAATGCACAAAAGCAGRGATGAAAGCACATTTGGCGAATAAGTTCTGATGTAGCGAACATTTAAGCAGGCAGTATGCATGGAATTTCTTCTCAGTGGGTCCAATGTGAAAAAAAAAGTCAGACTCGTCACCCAACATTATTCATCATCAAACTGGTCTGGGATTAAGCTCGTAAGTTTTCATCAGTCACATTTCACCATGTAAAACGTCTGTTTTATCCCCTTTTATGAGTTTGTAATGGTTTGACTCTCTTCATAAAATGCTTCCCAGTACAGTYGGCTCATGAAGCGAGTGGGTCAGYGCAACCGAAAACAYTTCCTCACTCCTGGTCTCAGTTAAATAATAAAAATGAACAAACAAACAACCTCCGAGTCTGAAGTCCACCRCACCTGAGAGCATCACTCCTTTTCCTCGTTCTTCATCTATCTRTTTGCAAGCCTACYGACAATGTGGTGTGTTTGAGGAAATGGGAAAAATAGGTTTTGTGGTGCAGTCACGCACTTCCTGGTCACAAGACATTTTGTAAATGCGCACCAAATGCGTAAAAATGTGCACATTATGGCAAGACTTATTCATCATTACATCTGGTTTTAACATTACTTTTATAAAGTTTGAAGTCCGTGCTGTGTAATCCAATTCAAATGAACACTGAAAGCTCTCACTATTTTTTACAGAAGCCCTGTGAAAGCATCACAGCTTTGCCGATCTCAGAGGATTAATAAAAAAAATTCCTGTATCCGCATCGTGATCCAGAACATCACCAAAATTTAATGRTGTGTTCCTTGGCCCAGTACGCACATGTGATGTAAATGTCAWGWCAGTCTGTCCACAAGTTTTTGAGTAATGTTGTCCACAGACAGGCCGACAGACATACGCGACCGAAAACTTTACCTCGCCGTTGGCGGAGGTAACTATAATTTATTTACAAATCGAGCTAAAACATGATGTGGAAGTAGCTGAGTCACACTTAACATGCACTATGAGCATTAATGGATCTCATGCAGCTGTGCAAAATGGCATTTATAAGGTTTGACTAAAACAGCTGTGTCCCTTTTCATCATAAGGTGATCTTAGATTATCTGACACAAAAGGCAGAAGGTGGTGTGCATTTCGTAATSCTGGGTCTTTATGTCTGTTCGGTAAAGTCAGATACCAACCACTGTCTAATTTTTGTCCTGTTTCCTGCCTTCATGTTCTTCCAGGACTTCAGTATGGACTTTGGACACTGTCCKGAAATCACAGTGTATACAGGCTGCTGTTTGTTCCCTCCTGTTGATCAGCTGGTCACACTCTGGAACGAGAACAAGAAGGCTCTCCTCAGCATGTTGGTGGAGGTGGGATTTTATTGTGACATCATTATTTACTCTCAACTGAAATAACCTGTTTACCATTGATTATCAAGGTTTAAAATATGTCTGACGTGAGACACAAAATAATGTAAAATTTAAGACGTTTTAATGCAATAATTATTCAAGTGCTATACATGAAATTTATGAAACACCAAAATGTTCATAGTTAAATTAATAAAACATTATGAAATAAGTGTCTATATGAATAATGTGACAACGTAATTGTGTTGTAACTGAATGGATATAAGATTAAAAGTTCATTATTATGTAATTTTTCATTCTTCTTTAAAACTGTGCTTATAAATATAAAACATTATGCTACAGGCATTTTTCCCCAATAGTAGAGTTTATTTTTGAGACATAATTCCAGCAGATTTTATTCTGATATGTTATTTTCACAAAGCGATCTTTTAAAATTGGCATCTTTTTGTACAGGGTTAAGGATTTGTTGCACAGTTTTACCTTTATGTGTGCATTTTATGGAATTGGTAGAGTTTGTTTTATTTGACTAACCATAAAACCAAAACATTCCTCTGTCTGTCTACTCCAACCCAGGTTCATAAAGGAGTACGTGGCTTGGTGAAGGACAGAAGTGGGAAACCAATCACTGGCGCAAGCATCGTCCTGAACAGAAAAATGAAAATCTTCATCTCCCAGGGAGGCTACTTCCACGTACTCCTCGCTCCTGGCAACTACAGTATTGAAGCCATTGCTGATGGATATCAGCAACAACAGTTTACGGTGAGCTGTTATTTAGTGGCCTCCATGTTTTAGACGTTATCCTTATTCAACTCACCTGATTCTAAGTTCTTGTTAGTATCATTTAAACCAGGTGGTGATATTTAGTGGCATCAGTAAAAACTGACCTGAACTGAACTGATGGTGGAGCAGGGAAACCTATATAACTTGTAGAATGGGACCTGTGGACCAGAATACTGGTTATTTACAAATTATGTTATAATGAACGTAAGCGGTTCAGTGCTTTGAAGCGTTTGATATAATTAAGTATGGCGCCATCTGCTGGCCAAGCTTCAACATGCAGCGCACGAAAACAAAAAGGGCAAGGTCTCATGAAACAGTTAAGCTTTCTTGCATTTAATAGCAACTCTTTGTGCACCTTGAAAATTTAATGTCAATAATTATTACTGCCTGTAACAAAGACACAGGCGTTTGGAAAATGGGTCCACTTCACCGAGCAAAGTGCTGTTCCTATTGGATCGTTATTGTTGGGCTGAACTAAATATCACCTAAAAGTTAAAGATTTGTATTTATGTCATATTTAAGTAAGTTGTAGTACTTTGTTAATGTTGGTTTAAAAATAAAATTGAAAATGAAATTGTTTAGTTCTCCTGCATTAAAACTCACTTCCATATCCATCACAAGACCGAAACACATATTATTGACAGAGTTTCTGTGTGCGTTTATGTAAAAACTAAAAGTATTTAATGTAGTGAGTCGAATGAGAAAACTTGAATGTTTGTGTAACTTGGTGCAGCTGGGAAGAAAAAAAAGTAGGTTCAAAGGTAGGTTTTTTAAAGCCTTGACTTTAAGGACACAGTTCAAAGACGAGGAGAACCCCAAATTGAGAAAAATAACATTTATTAATTTACAAATGAAAGAACCACATTTTTTTACTGTCTTTGAAAGGATTTCACCACTGCTCCCCTTTACAGTCTATGAAAGGTGTCGGACGAAGTATGCAGAACCTCTCCGTCACCTGCACCTTTCCATCGGGACACTCTGAAATTTGCAGGGACGGGTAGGCCAGCTCTTCGAACAGGTTTTCCTTGATGGCGAAGCCGAGCGCCAGGCTGTAAGGCGCCAGCTTCCTGCAGGGTCTGTAGAGCACGGGGTCCACCACTGAGTGATATGTCCTTTGGTAGTCTGCTACCGTGTAACCGTGGATCGTCAGAGGGCCGCTGCAGCTCTTCTCCTCCGTGACGACGTCTTCGGCGCCGCCGCGTGGCAGATCTGAGATCTCCGGAATCACAGCAGCATTCCTTATATACCTCTCGTCCAGGGGTTTCTGGGGGTCTCGCTGCTCCAACATTGAGTCCAAACTGTAAGCTGGAGGCAACATCCACTTCCTCTCCTTAATCGTCTCCCCATACTTTTTAGGACACCGGATGCTCTGCCTCAGCTCATAGGAGCGCATCATGCGTCTGAAAGTGGAAGCGACATGGATTTCTATAAATTATTCTGCGACTGTGAGCTCTACTGTTTAGATAATTTATAGAAAATAAAGCAAACACACACCCTAAAACATAATGTGACAAAAGAAGGGGAACAAAACTTATTACTTAACCAGATTAGAATTCTTATTTCCTATCTAGTGGTTTAATAATGAAACTTGCAAAACAGGTGCAGCTCCTGTGCTACATAGAAAAAGAAAAKAAGTAATCAACTGAAAATGCATTCTCAGATTACAGTGATTTACCTCTCAGATGAATATTATAGGATTGTTTTGCACCAGCACTGTTTTTTAGATGTACAAGACAACCTGTAGCAGATTAAACTAACCAGACACAGCTGCATGTGGGACCTGCTAATTAGAAAATTGACCTCTTTGTTTCAAAGCAGACGTTAGAGGTGAAAGATGTTTTTCCACTTGACTTGAGGAGACAGCTGTGTTGGAGAACAGGAAGTTTTCTTTGATGTTTGACTAGGTTTTTAAAGTTTTAAAAGTCACAATAATTAATTTACATACTCAGCCTGTCCTCATACACCCACGTACCGCCACAACTGCTGGTGAAGTTCTGCAAAACGGTGTTTTAATAACCTTGACTGAGGTCAGATTGAAGAACTTTAACATCTAATAAGTTCAGAGAAATGTGATTTATGTTTAGCAAGGGATTTTTGCTGCATAAATTCCCACTATACTTTAATTCAGGAGGTCAAAAGTAGCACAACATTATTTTTTTTCTATTTTCCAGGTCGAGGTGTCTCCTTATCAAGCTGCTAGCTACATCATCATTGATTTTGACTTTGACAAGAGCATCTTTGGATTGCCCAGGGAGTTTGTTGTGGCATGTGCAGGTAAGCATGTCTTATCTATGGAAGRTTCTTGTTACTTGGTGCTCCACTGAACTAGAAAGATACTGAAACATTGTCTGCCATCATTAGTTCTAAAGTTAATTTAAATAGCCTTATTTTACTTAAATAGACATACAAACTATTGTAGAACCATTAGTGCTGTAAGCAGTTTAACCAGACCAGTACATAGTTGCTCTTTAAGTAGATCATTATTGTTTAAATTTATTTTTTGAGAAAAAAGGCGCAGTTGTTATACGATTTTTTTTCTTCTTTCTGTCGCCTTTCATTTTATTTGTGATTTGTGTTTTTTATTGTACATAAATGTTTTTATTTAAAAAGTACTTCACATTTACTTAATCTGACCAGAACTCTATCAGTGTCTGTTTTATCCTCCTATTTCTTTTTAAAATGTGGCTTTTATATAACATACACACACATCAGCATATAAATATGGATAATTGAGCTTTTGTCTTTGCAATAGTTAAGTATTTTGTAGCATACACTTTCCTTAAAGGTAACACAAAATAGTAGACTGATGGCTAATAAGAAAGATGTTAGATATTTTTAGTTAGTTGGTTTATGATTATTACATCGTTTCCTGCTTTACTGTAATTATAACAGTATTTGGCAGCTTGATGTATGAAAAAGATCTGTGATCTCAGCTGCCTGGTTAAATAAAGAATAAATTAAATAAAAATAGTCTAGAGAGCTTGACAGAACTCGATAAAGTAGTGTTGGACTAGAATTTCAAACAGAACTAAAACCTAATACCACATTTTTGGAAGTTCAGGTTTGTGTAATTAAAACAAATTATAACAAAACATTAGGCTCCATGGTTGAGATTTGGTTTTAAACTCTTATTTATGGTCTGCTGCCATGTTGACAGTGACTAAGACGCCATCTTATCACTTACCAAGGCAGARGCACAGATTTTCTTCTTGTTGACCCGCTTCTATTAGCAGTATTTTTGGAGACTGTAGTTTGTTCTTCAATCTAAAAGTCATTGACAGGATCCACCTGGACAGGTTCAGTAAATCATTTACAGCAAGCCCACCTGCTATTAGAATATTTGTGTTATTGTTTATGTGGAACTTTAATATTGTTTAAAACAAAACAACTTTATTTTTAAGTTTAATCTCAAATAAACCCATGGCTGTGATTTGGTGTGGACATACTCAGTCGTGTGTTTTCTTTTGTCGCCTCAGCGGCTGCCATGACCGCGCTGGTGATTACGGCGTGCATCATCTGGTGCGTGTGCGCGGCCAAGTCCAATCGTCAGAAAGATGGCTTCCACCGCTTGCGGCAGCACCACGACGAATACGACGACGAGATACGGCTCAACTCCATGGGCTCCAAGAAATCCCTGCTCGCCAACGAGTTTCAGGACGAGAGTGAAAGTGAAGAGGAGACGCTGTATGCCAACAAAATCTAAAAGACTCTCTGCACCAGTTTGGCTCAGTGTTTTATTTTAATTTTGTTTGTTTTTTTTTTGTTTTGTTTTTTTTTGACCTCCCACTAGATTTGAACCTTTTGCCAACATGGAACTAAATGGACTCAAGAATGAGCAGCTTCTGTTTTTATATGAAAAACTCGAAGCATATTTTTCCGTTATGCCTTTAAGTTTTTAGGTCTGGCTTCTTCCCACTTCAGTGCTGCTAAATCAGAGAATCCTTTAGGACAAAGGGTTCATGTTTGRTTTCTGGTTGACTAAACAGCTCTCATTCATTTATTTTTTATTTTTCACACAGTTGTTTCCAAGCCGTTTAAAGCTATTACTTGGTCATTATTTGTCCTGCCTGCCTCACAGGTCAAGCCATCACGTCCAAATGAACTTTTTATTAGTGTCTCCAGAAACTTACAAATGTCATCATCAGTAGGTATTTATTTGAACACCACTTAAAGCTAGATGAATTTTTTTTTTTTTTGGTGTAAAATAGTAAAGTTACGCTAAAATGTCAGCATATGTCAGAACGACTCCATCACTCTGTGCCTTGGCTTCTATAGATTTTAAAGTTCCAGTTAGGTTGTCAGAAGAAGCAGATAGAACTGTATTATATATAATTATGTGATAACAATAATTTTTTGATCCATTCTAAACTCAGGTTTCTAAAAGGAGGAAATTGCGCTCAAGCAAATGCTAAATTCCAATATTCATACCTTTTTTTTTTTTTTTGCACAGAGAACTTAAACTAAATAATCCCGCTTTGGGAGTTTTTTTTTCAGTAGGTTAAACTTTCAAAATCTGAGAATCTAATTCTGAGCTTAAATGAAACTTTGCCTTGTGAGTGGATGGTGTTTTAATGTATTTACAGGGATTGTTGCTCCCATTATCACTGGCCATGAYAACAAATGTTGAACCTAAAAATGTGTTGACAAGATTGTATTTGTTTTTCTTTGTRTTTTATTAGTTATAGGAAGTTTACTGTGTGTAGAAAATCCCTTCTCTGTACACTTCTATCTTTGTTTTTTTTAAGGCATCAATTATGTGTTAATATTGCACAGCCTTAACTATGAATATTTTCCAAACTGAAATAGGAAATAAAAGGCATAAAGAGTATAATTTAATCACATAAACTTTTGTGTGGGAGGATTGTTTCCAATATCTGAGTGAAGTGGAAACTTTTTTTTTGTTTGGTGATCCTGTGCTGAAAGTAGGATGGCTTTATCTCTAGCCAAACAGGGTAAATGACCAAAAACCAAAAGTCTGAGTGAATGAGGGAATCCTCTGATGTTCCTGTACTTCTGAATGAACTGGACCTCCAAATTCTAAAAGTGGGAAAAGTGCTGCTTGGTTTCAAAACATCCCTCTTCAGAGTAATTCACCCCCAGCTATTTTCACAAAAAGATATTTCTTAACTTTTGCTTTGGGGAGAAAAGTTTGTAAATTATTTTTCTTATACTGTGTCTACAAAGCCCTTGTGTATAGACTTCTGAAAGCGTCACGCAATGTGAAAATTTTATACARCTGGAATAAAGTGTAAATATTTGCCAGATGTATGTAAAGGGTGGAGCGTGCACTTTCTGTTTTCACATGCATCGTTTCAGATTCATCTTGGTTGGACTTAGATGTGCTGATGTGCACAAAAACTCACAAATTACGGTAATAAAACATGTCAGAGCACGACTTGTTTGTATGCTGCATTTCTTTAAGGGCAAGTTTTCTAAATAAAGCCGACCTTAATGTTACAGGAGATAAAAGAGCGTTTGGAATAAGTAACAAGTTTAAATCCTGAAAACTGCCCACATTACATAGTTTTATGGTCTGAAAAGAAAGGACCTTATTTCCATATATTGTATGTAGTGTATGTATGTACATGCCATTAAACGATGACATAAAAAGGAGGAAAAAATAATTGTAGATCACGATGAGCAATCATTCTTCTGTTTTCCTGACTCAGTCATATAAAAAAGGACACAAATAGAACTGTTTTTCCAGATTAAAGTATTTCATAACCACTTGTACACTAAAATACTGTTATAATGTACAATAGCWGTCACACACATTGTACCTTCAAAATAATTATATTTTTTAGTTTTAAAGCAAAAATGCTCAGTTGAACAGCACACATTGCATTTTTAAGTGTTTATATACACATTATTCGTTTTAGTGACAAAACAATGTGCTTTTTTAAAAACAATTTCATTACATTTAGTCAATAACGTCCTGGGAATAAAAGTTCCTGTCATGCCTGACAGCCTTAGCTGAGGGCATTAAAAGACTACGACGTCGTACGTCTTCTCGTATCACGTGATTCGAACTTTAGGGTGACGTCGCAGAACAACAAAGATGGCAGGAATCGGAAGCAGCACCTATTGGGAGGGTAAGGATCCCCAGCATTGTTTATTTCGGTTTACATTAAAGTGTCAAACACGGCGACATGTCTTACCGTACAACGTAAAGTCCGGAGAACTTTGTTACTGTCGCTGCTTTGGTTTCAATAGACCTCCGCGAATTAGATGTGTACGTGTCTCTCCAACAACTAGTCAGCTCCCACAACAAGCTAACATGATAACCGCCATGTAAGAGAATATGTTAAATTCATGTTTAGAACACTCGATGCACCGACTTGTGTTTGCCAATATGGTCATTATGTGGTACTGAGCCCATACGGTTTTCCACAGTTTATAGATGTGGTTATTTGTTAAGTTTAAGCACTTTTTTGTTGTTGTTTGGGTTTTGCCTCAAACTAGATGAGTCGTCACTGGTGGCTGGTGGTGCAAAAATACGTCTATGTATTCATATCATTGTTCAGTAAGGCCTATAGTTGACCACAGCATCCATTGAATGTTAAACAGTTAAAAATACATTTTTCAATAACTTAAAATGTTGTGGAGACTCACATATGAGCATAAACATCCTCTAATATGTGCTTCTATTAAGTGTGGTATCATAATTAATTTATATAGATGTATTTTCCACCACTGACKGGCAAAGTATCATTGCTGGGCTTTTGTATTTGTGTTACAGATTTGAGAAAACAGGCGAGACAGCTGGAGAATGAGCTTGACCTGAAACTGGTCTCCTTCAGTAAACTGTGCACCAGCTACAGCAGCTCCAGGGAYGGACGTCGAGGAGACACGTACGATCAGTTCACGAATCTCTATACATCCTTCTACCAATATACCCACTGTCCTTTCCCTGTACATCATCTCAGCCTGGTCCATAAACCTTCATCTCATTTCATACCTTGACCTTTGCGACCATCCTTTTGTCGCAAGTCACTCAAGAAACCTTTACACTCCATCCTACTTGGACTCTCTTCTTCACCTCTTTACCACATTCCCTGTTTTCAGGCCCTGTCCCAATACCTGCACTCCCACCCTCGTTCCGCCCTTGTGCACTTCAAATGCGTGTTCACGTTGAAGGGTTTGAGTGCGTAGTGTGTGTCCCACATTGTCCACAYCCGCCCTTCGCCCCACCCATTTTGGGTACTATTTCCGCCCTTCCACGTAGTCTGCATTTTTACAGAATTCGGTGAAGTGTATTACCCACAATTTATTGCAGCCAAAACAGCAACTGTTTTTTTTATAAACCTTTATTGAACATTCAAACATGGTACAATAAATAATGCTGCCAGGGGGAATGAAGAACTATAAATG